ATGGCAGTCATGGACAAAATGGAGCAGTACATGTTGGCGTAGAATACCACAGTCAGTACGTTGCACATGCCCGTGCCCAAAGTCCAGTTGTACCCTTGCATTTGGTAGACGATCTGAAAGGGGAGCACGGTGCCTAGTATCAGGTCAGTGAGGGTGAGGTTGATCATGAAGATGATGGAGGGGGTTTTCGGAGAGGTGCGCATCAGCAGCAGAAACAGAGACACGCCGTTACCGCTGAGGTTGAACAGAGTCACGATGACATAGATGGCTGACACAATATCGCTGGTTAATTTGTTGTCAAACATGGCCAAGGTGGCATTGTCCATTTTGACGATGCCTGGTTGCGAACCATTCATGATTGTTTTCTCCACCTGTTGGAAAAGGTTGAAGAGACTGTAAGATTACACTAACCAAACTTCATCACTAAAACCACAAACTGTGTGATAAACATCTGCATTGTTGGTATTCCGGCTCACTGACAGGAACAAGACAGTAAATGTACAATATTAAAATGACAAATGATTTTATCGAAATGAATTAAATATCAAGCGATCTTTTGGGGATTTTTTTTTAATAAATGCTATTTTATTTGTTGTACACTTTAATTTGAACAGTATTTTACTGTAATATGCACAGTATATTACTCTTAAATGTACTAAAAGTATAATAGTGCAAAGAGCCAAGGATTATGGGAAAACATGTGTTTACTACTGTAATTATTTTCTACTGTAAATCATAAAAAAAAAATCTGTAGGAAATCAATTATAATACTGTAAATACAAAATACAGTATTATTCCAGTATATGTACAGTATATGTAAATTAAAATACGGTACTTGTGCTGTTAATGAAAAATACAGTACTCATACTGTAAATATTAATACAGTTTACAATTGTATTACTGTAAATGAAATTACAGTACTGATAATGTAAACACTTTTACAGTAACTTACTGGTTACTGTAAAAGTGTTTACAGCAAACTTTTTACAGTGTAGTTGTACTATGAGCACTTGTTTTACAAATTATTTTCATACATTATAATGCATAATAATTTACATGTAGTTTTTCCATAAAGTTTTATAATTTATGTAGTAAATTATATTATATAAATTATATTATTATAAATCTATGCATTTGAATACAAATTAAATTAATAATAATACCATTGATAATATGTAATAAAAATATAACAATAATTAAAGAGAAATATGTTAATTATAATTTAATTATAATTTAATTTGTGAATGTAATTCAAATAAATATTTTATTTTATTTTAGTATAACTTGCCTAAGACACTGTAATGCGTTGCTGAAAAGTCTTCGCAGTTTTTAGACCTGCAGTCACTCACACATTAGAGATATACCTCTGATGCTTCATAACACTCTCGCATGAACAGGAAGTTTGGGGCCACGTTATAGGCCTTCCAAACATGCTACTTCAGCAGGTACACATATGGAGCTATACACACAAAGCACAAATGACCAGCAAATCACTGCCTATTGTAAGACTTTAGAGCTGTTTCACAAACGTTAACTGTAATGATTCACACGATCAGTCTCGAGCAAGGGACTTTTTTCGTGTTATTTCAAAGGAAGTGAAAAATTATTTTAATGCCACAAAGTGTGCCAGCATCAGATTTCATAGTCATTACAGCTGTAGTGCGGCTGCCTTGCACAGATTGAAATAGTAGAGGTGGGCTGTAGTTTCAAACACTTGACGTAAAGTAATGTTTCTGAAACCGTGTCCTTGTTTCTTGAAGAGATATTCAAAGATTTAATAAGCTTTTTTTTAGGTCATGGTGCCAACTAATGGGTACGCCACCTTTCTGCAAACTTAAAGGGTATCATTATATAGTGACTAAAATGTATTCCCGGGTTTGTTTGAAAATCAACGCTATATCTGAGTCATTTATTTTCTGCTCTTTAATTTTTTTTTTTAATTTTGTGCGACCTTAATAAGTAGACTTAAAGGGATGGTTGAACCAAAAAAAAAAGAAATTCAGTCATCATTTATTCATTCTTGTGTGGCTTAAAACATGCATGACTTTCTGTGTTTTGCATAACACACACACACAAAAAAAAGATATTATAAAAGATGTTGGGTGTCCAAACAACATCGGACCCTATTAACATTCAATTTATGGACGAAAAAAAGCACTGATGTTCTTTTGTGTTTCACAGAATATAGAAAGTCATACATGTTTGGAACAACATGATGGTGAGTAAATGATGACAGGATCTGTGAATTACCCCTTTAACTGAACCATTGTTCATTAGATCATTTTTTTGCCGTTGTTTGGATTTTTTTCAATCGCCTTTTGAATTCCCTGCTAAATATCAACTACACAAACTGTCCTTCAATGCCATCATTCGCAAAGTATTTTATATGGTTGTTTCTTTCATCAAGTAATAAGCAAGTTTTAAGTAGGTTTTGCACAAGGGCTCCTGCAAAATACTCAAATTTGATTCACAGGGAATGTGTAAATTGATGTATATTGTATTGCATGTCATTTTGGATTTGGAATTTTGCATAATTAACAGAATTACAAAAAAGCAGCAATGGGTATTGTCTAAATGTCTAAGCTAATAACCTATGATCACACTTTCATGTTGTTGTTTTTTTGTTGCAGTGAAACCATTCTCATGGGTAGATAATGACCTACATGTAGACCCTTCTAAAGTAGGTGAAACCATGTCTAGTTTTCACACCTTTTACGTCAGTGAATAACAGTTCTCATGGTAGGTTTATTTTTTTAAAGCGTAGGTTTATTTTTTAAAGCAAATTTCCTAAGATACACAAAAAAAGCATGAACATTCAGTAGCCACAGTTATTGCCTAGAAAAAAGTATATTACTAAATTTCATGGTGCCTGTTATCATATTTAATGAGGTTTGTCATATTTAATGACAAACACAAATTCATAAAACCGCAAAAATGTTAAAAGTAACACAAAAATGTCCATTTACACATTTTTATATGGAGAACAGAACTCACCCAAATTATTATAATGATTCCATATTTTACACTGTTAAAAAAACACATGACTGGATCTCAGAGTAAAATTTGTTTTGTTTTCAAGGTACTTTCTCATAACCCATGAAGTGTTACACCATCATGACTCATCTGGTAGACAAAACTATAAAAGGCTCTCTGTGTGAAATGATGTTGATAGTATGAGATCAGCGAGTTTATACATGTTATCAGTTACTATATTTTTAACTTGATGTTATTTATATCAAAATGAGATTCATTTGCAACTCAATACTTCTAAAGTACTTGTCAAATCCGGGGGAATTACGGACTGAGATTTTTTTGTGATCATCCGTCTCGCAAACGATCACACAGGTCTAACTTCACAAGAGCAGCGAAACAGTCAGGTAACAATGAATCAGTTCTAACTAACAAGCAGAGCACATCCACAAAATGTACGATTTCACAATAATTCCCAATAGACAATGATCTTTTACCTTTAAGGAAAGCCTTGTAAAATCTGGGATTATGAATGTGAAGTATACTGGCTTAAGTTTAGCAAATACATCATTTTAAAAAGCAATTTCAGGCTTGTGTACATACCTTAAAGAGCATGTGCGACTTCCCTTGTGTGTTGATGGCTGTTAATCTACAGGCATGACTGTTAGACTCAGGAAACCTCTTGATGAGAGGAAGTACACCGCCTGACTACTCATTTAGATCAAAATAGTAAGTTTAGAGTTACTCATGTGTGAAATTTAACAACATATTTCATTTCAAAATATCATAACATGAACATTTAAAACATAAGAAATTGCATAAGTATTTCATTATCAAAGTTATAACATCTTCATTTACCAGTTTGCAAACAAAACTGAATTTATAGCATCCAGAGGAAGTTCCTCTAATGACATTGGTGGCTGGTTTTACACAGTTTCTCTTTCTCGATAGTGATACGTGTTTTTGAATGTTTTTTTGATTTGGATTTTTAAATGACTGCGAACTCGAAGCCTGAAATTGATGTGGGAGGATGTGGTGAAAGGCAATACGCCACATAAACCAGTAAAAATAAAGGCACACACCTTTCCTGACGCCAAATAATGTAGTCTTGAGGTCTAGATGGTCTAGATGCTTTATTAGAAACTTCAGTGTTTCATTGGCCAAGCCTTTAAAATCTGGTGTTGATACACGTATCTGTTACAAACTGTACAAAAGAAAAGCAAAAAAAGGAAACTACAGTCAAGAAACTCATTCAGGGTGTTTAATCTCAGTCATACCTGTGATCTTGTTTCCTGTTTGCTTTGTGGGCTCTACTTTTATGTTGGTTATTAATGCACTTAACTAGAAAACAAACAAACCTAAAATAAATGTGTTTCCTTGGAGAACGGCGAACTACTATTTTCTTTAGAAAGTGGCATTTTGCTTCTGTACAGGATGATTTATCGCATCTTCCATCGTTACTTTTTCACATTTCACAGAGCGCGAGAAAAGCAGGGGCAATAGGAATGAACAAAACTGGCTAAAAGTAAAATTAGAGGCAAATAGTCATGTCGAAAAACATACAGGAAAGTCATTATGACTTGCTTTCTCTGTCTGAAAGTGTGGGAACTAAAGAAGTTGTATGAGAAACATGCAAATTCTATTAATTTCTGTCTTCTCAGTGCAAACTGATTCTGGTATAGAATTGACTCAGAAAGAGCAAACTTAAGCTGCTGAGATGTTTTGCAAGTGAAAGCCATAAATCTTACAAAGAAATCCAGCCTTGAGAAAAGTTTGTCCTTTAGTATTATTTCAGCTGCAATTCGAGTGCAAACGAGAAACTTTAATTATGGTACAATTTGGTCTATTATCATATGCCCATATGTAATGCCATAAATTTTTTTATTTAAATTACTTTTTTTAATTCAAAATTCAAAACTACTTTAACATTTCTTTAAAATAAAAAGCTGTAATTTTTTAATCAAACTTATTTAAAGTGTAAAAGTCAAAATATAATTTATAAATAAAATAAAAAAAATAACATTCAAATATTACTTTACATAATCATATATCTTTATTGTACACAAATGATCAATCCATCAAATACAATATCACATTTTTAAAGTATTCTACAGACTTCACATTTTTGTTGGACTAACTTATGGAAGTAAAACTTTTTTGTTTCAAATACTTTTATCATTATTTTACTTCCATACTAACTAAACAGTAATTTTACTGTTACTAACTAAAAACCTGTATTTTTGTATATAATAACGGACGGGATCTTTAAGTGCAAATCAAAGGTAAGGCAAGTGAACCCCATGTAGCCTCCCACCGCTGAATTTCTCAAAAACATGCACACTGATAAGAAATATCACAAAACAACATCTTATTTGACCTAATTGAACACAGTTTTAACAAAAAAAAAATTGTTCTTCTTGGCCCGCAGGTGAAACAATACTAAGAAATTTGCTATATCCTGTTGTGAGAGATGCATTTGTTAAAGCAGAAAAGCCAGAACGTCTATACATCAGGGACAATAGAGGCATCATTCAAAGGCATTACAGTGTGAAAATGTGAAATTAAGAGTTACATGCTTAAATGTTTCATTAATACAATGTAGCATTTAATATATCCATAAAGAAAAAAAATATGTCTCTGTTCCCCATCCCACATTACATTTATTTAAAATACAGATTTCACAACACACTGATTTTCTTTACAGTAAAATCTCTCTCTCTCTCTATATATATATATATATATATATATATCTTGTTTAATGGAATCAATTTATTACACTACAAAAGGCATACAAATCTGATCTCTGTCAATAATGAGGTATTTGTATCAATGAAGTGGATCATTTTACATTTATGACACTGTTGACTTTGTGTATAAAATATTAAGCGGTGATTTCGATGCACTATACTCACAGATGACTCAGAAGACAAAACAACAAGGTTGAAGTTCAGCGTTCTTCCTATAGTGGCATAACATCTTCCTGTCATGGTATTTTTTTTTTCACTCGTCAGCACTCTTTTCTGAGCCTGTACCAATGACTGTCTTGTAGCAAAGTTCTCCTCCGTGATCGGGGGAGATCGGCGAGAAGTCAAAGGCCTTGTTGCCGGAGCCCGTGCGCTTGCGGTTTCTAGCCCCGGGTTGGTACAGCTGCATCGCTGGTCGGTCCTGTGCCGTGAAATGAGTAAGACAAAAGAGACAAAAGCAATACACTCATATTTCATACCACAAACGCAGACAACACGGCTTTTTCATGGCAGGTTATTTAAGAAAGTGCTGTTCATGCATACAGTATAATCAATTTCCTTCCCCGTCTTAATCCCATTTCAGAAAGACAGACAACCAGCTATTGACAGCCCCTCAAAATCCATTTAGTCCAAAACAAAAACATTATACTGAATTGTATCTGTTTACGGTGGTGGTGACGGGGGTGACACATAATGGCTAAAGCTCAGGGCTAATAACCAGACTATCATCACTTCTGGAAATAAGTCACTTTGGATGAAAGCATCTGCTAAATGACTGAATCAGAATCCAGCATGTAAGCATTTCAATGTGGTTACAATGAGCGAGATCTTAAGTGTTCTTCTATATACTTTTAGGATTTGTTCCAAAACCAAGCGAAATGCAATTTATTGTCTACACAGGGAGTTGCCGTTTGAAGACAACTGTCATAAAATTGTAACGCTTTACGTATCAGCAACTCAATGCGAAAGGCAAAGGAGACTCGACTTTCAATTCATTTCAATAGAGTTTGGCAATAACATGTTGCTAACTAACAGTGTCAATTTCTAATAAGTATAAAACCACACAAATATTGAGTAGAAGAGGAGCTTTTTTATTTTATAGACATTTTTAACTATATCAATTTATCAAGCTCACCTTATTTTCCCCAAATAGATCAGAATCTTAAATATTTTGTATTGACTTTATGTATAATTTATAGGGCTGTCAAACGATTAATCGCATCCAAATAAAAGTTTGTGTTTATATAATATATGTGTCACGGTGTGGTGCAGGCAGAAGAGCAGACAGAGTCCAGATTACAACGAAGAGCACTTTTACTATCTATATATATAAATCACAAGAATACAGGTAGGAGCAACACAAGGTAACATGCAACATCGACCGACAAAGACTGACTAAAACAGAGGGAACTAAATACAAGGAGGAATCAAACATAATGGGGTGAAAACAGGTGATCCTGATGAACGAGACGATGAACAGGAGGCTGATGAGCGAGTGAGTTCAGGTGTGGGTGACAAGAGGATCTTGGGAAGTGTAGTGCTGGAGACGCAGACAGAACAGTGCAGACGCAGACTGTGACAATATGTGGGTGCACTGTGTATAATTATTTTATATATATATAAATACACACACATGCTTGTATATATTTAAGATATTAATATTATTAATATTTTCATGTATATACTGTATATAGATTTATATATAATTTATATGATATGTAAATATAAATAATTTTTTCTTAAATATACATGCATGTGTGTGTGTATATATATATATATATATATATATATATAATTATACAAAGTGCACCCACATATATTATGTAAACACAAACTTTCATTTGGATGCGATTAATCGCGATTAATCGTTTGACAGCCTTAATAATTTAATAATAAACTTTTAGTTTATTTCCTGGTTTAAATAATATGTTGAATCTATTTTAATTTTTTTTTTAACTATTATTCATAATTAAAATTTCTCTCACCTTGGGAGACTTCTTGAATGGATTTACAGGTTTAAATGAGATGTTTAATCTAATATGTTTTCAACTCTAATAATATATAATCAACATTTTTTTGTCTGCCATCTTGACTGGATTTTTTTCCCCTGAGTGTGTCGCAATGCATAATGGGATAGCCTTTTGCGAAACGAGACACATAAATGAAAGATAATATTGAATTTGGCCAAAATAAGGACTATTACATTTCTTTTTGTCCAATGCCTTAAAAATGCTGCCTACATAGGCAACTCACTCGGTTTTGGAACAGGGCCGTCGTTTTCAGTTATATAAGCTCCTTCTATTGGGAACGGCTCCTCGTCTGTGCCATTACAGCTTAACCAACATTCTGCTGTCATCAAGTACGCCTGGCACTGTAAGGTGCGAGGCCTCGCAGTATACAGCATGTGAAGTATCCCCTCCCGTGGGTAGAAAGGCTCAAAAACTAGCTGTACCTTTGCTGGCAGAGCCCCTCCTATCTGGTCTGGCCCCTCAGACTGGGAAGTCCTTTTCTCCTGATGCGCTAACACAGACTGAGAGACACGTTGTCTTCCGTCAATAATATTGCCAACAGCCAAATTACAGCTAACTACCTCAACACATCAGTGAAGGCTGCATTGAACTCCCCTGGAGGGAGGCAGAATCGTATTGTATTTCCCACAGACATAATGATGTATAAATCATGTACAGGTGTGTAAATATTGAAAGCATTAGTGGATTCATCTGCTACACAGACCGGACAAACTGACTGATGACTGCAAATGGCCTGTGGTTGAGACATTGCTACTCTGTTAGTTTTTATTTACCTTATTGCGAATCCGTTCTTTCCTGCTGCCCATGTCCTCTCTGTCCTCTTTTCCCAGCTTGTCTCCAGTCTCTGGGCAGTAGGAATAGGCATGATGTTGTTCTTTCTTGGCCCTGTCCTGGCAGTAGCCTTTGCCCCATTTGGTCTCCTCCTTGCGTCGCATGAACTTGTCAAACTCGTAGTGATGCCTCTGACGCTTACGTTCCTCGTCTCTGCCGCGATGCTCTTTGTCCCTCTGCCGACGGCCGTGACCTTCCCGCTGCTCCTTGTCACTCTCGATTTGACTCCTGCTGTGGAAAGCCCACTTAGATAAATAAATGTGTATATGGTGGGGTCCAAAAGTAACTTTTTTCAGTAACTTTTCAAAGTATACATTTTCATTACTTCATTACATTCTCAAAAAAATCTGCTAAATCTGATGACCTTGTTCTCCAGTATGATTTGAGAATTATCTAAAGAGCATCTTGGGCCTTAATGGAAGAACAAACATCGAAGAAAAAATCCACATGATCCTTGACACAAATTTGATTGATTAGTGACCTAGAAATAGTGCAGATATTTCTGCTTTATATGATGTGATGTGATGTGAACAAAATGTTTCAAAATCCATAAAGAAACAAAAGTAGCGGATAATATTTTAATCCGTATTGTGACCTACACATCAGAGAGAAATACTGTATATTGATCAAAAAAGAAACAAATGTCATCAGTTGTTGGTCTGTCGTTTTACCGGAAGATTTGACATTTTAATAATAAGATCATTAAAGGGATACTCCACCGTTTTTTTTTTTTCATATTAAACTATGTTATTCCCTTAACCAAGACGAGTTGATACATACCTCTCTCGTCTCTGGCGCGCGAGACACTTTGATAGCACTTAACTAGCCCAGTTCATTCAATAGGGGCCAAGCAGAGAACCGATATTACTATGCTGAGTCGAAGTGCTCCCAAGCACTTGCTATGGTATTCCGCCATACAATATGGTTATCCATTTTACATGCTTAGAAAAGCGCAACGTTTTATTTTATGTCACCGTCCTAGGTCGAGTTACACTGCTCGAGTAACTGTATTTAAATAGCGAAAACATGGAGGTGTTTGGTCGCTTCTCTCCTTGGCCCCTATTGAATGAACTGGGCTAGTTAAAGGAGTAGTTCACTTTAAAAAAAAAAAAAAAAAAAACTTTTGCTGATAATTTACTCACCCCCATGTCATCCAAGATGTCCATGTCTTTCTTTCTTCAGTCGAAAAGAAATTAAGATTTTTGATGAAAACATTCCAGGTTTTTTCTCCATATAATGGACTTCAATGGGAACCAAACGGTTCAAGGTCTAAAAGACACTTTCAATGCAAACTACAAACTGTTCAAAGGGCTTTAAACGATTCCAGACGATGAATAAGGGTCTTATCAAGCGAAACAATCGTTCATTTAAAAAAAAAAGTTTAAGTTTGATAAGCTCAAATGGTCGTCTTGCTCTGTTCTGTGATGCACGTTCGTGACTCTCCTGTTCGAACTCGTTCATAAAAATGAACGAATCTTTTCCCGAGTCAATTCATTCATTTCGTTCGTTGATTGAACCAAATGACACGAGAAAAATCCTGGAATGTTTTCATCAAAAACCTTAATTTCTTTTCGAGTGGTGGTGAGTAAAATATCAGCAAAAGTTTTTTTTAGTTTACATAGTTTAATATGAAAAAAACAGTGGAGTATCCCTTTAAGATGCATTTTGAAATTACATAGAGATTTGAAACTTTTTGTTTAGGTCCAAGTATGGTAGCTCTTACTTATCCTTCGAATCCTTTGACTTAGTGTGACCTGCCGGCTTTTCCCATCTGTTCTTTTCCATCTCTCCGCTGTCTCCTTTATCTTTCAGTCTCTCTGAGTCCACATCATCGTCACGGTCACACTTCTTCAAAAGCTGGATTCATTTAGTAAAAACTGGTTTACAGTTCAGTACTGATAACCACAAGTTAGAAGTAGTCAGGATGTAATGACGCTTTAAAGTCATACCTTGATCTTAATCTCTTTTTCAGAGAGTTTCTTCTGCTTTTCGGCCTCCTTCCGCTTTCGTCTCTCTTCCTCTCTGCGTTTCCTCTTCTCCTCCTCTCTTTGCCGCTTCTTTTCCAGCTCTCTCCTACGCCTCTCCTCTCTTTTTTCCTCTCTTATTCTCTAGAATCGAAAAGAATCATGTATGTACAGTACAAAACCGCAGTGAAAACCATGGTGCACACTGAGCCCTTACCTGTTTCTCTAATTTCTTGTTTTTGATGTATTCCAACAAGGGTGTCGTCCTTTTGGCTACAAAAAAAAGTCACACAGAGGGAACATATAGCTTAATTTATAGTCATAAATAAAGAAAGAGAACCATTATATGTAGCCATTTGGATTCCCTTCCGAAATATCTGAATAGCGTTTTTCTTTTAATGAGCAGTATAACATAGGTATAACATATGTTGTCCTTAAAATATCCAGCAGATTATCTTTTTAAATCACACAAACATTTTAAAATTCACATTTGAAAATATGTTCTGTTCTAGATCAGGTGATTTTCACCACAGACTTTTTTGAAAACCGCTATTTTGAAACACATAGCAATATCATGATCGAACATCTCTATTCATTTCTCAACATCAAAAAGTGTTCTCATCAAAATGAAATAGGACCAGCTTTGTAATACTTGTCCAGGGCATACATTTATCTACACAAATGATAACAGCACCAAACGATTTCCAAAACCATACCTATAAGCTCTCGGGTTTTAGCTTCAATCTCTCCCAATAGTGTTTCTGGGTTGGCCATGGATTTCTCTTCATCACAAGAGTAGTTTTCCAGAAATCGCCTGTATTCTGGGTCTGAAAAAAGATTTAAGTGTTTAACAAATTTATGAACTTTTCGCCATGTATCAGCAAAGTCACTTTTAATGTATACTTTAAATGTATATACATTTTTTTATCAGTTAAATATTATAAATACCTTCTTCAATCGTTCCAGCTTTAGCATCTTTCTTCTTTAACTTTTTCTTGGAAACCTTCTGAAATGGGGCAAATTCTACAACAGCTGGATACTCTTGGCCTAAATAAAAATACAATTAATATATTAAAGACCTGTTATGAATTATATTAAACTAAATATAAACCATTTATATTCTCACTGTTGTGCTTTTTGTAAAAAGTAAATCTATTATACTATAAGTGGGATTAACTAGATTGAGAGTGAATAAATATTAAAAAGAGTAAAATGAATCACCTTTATTGTCAATGAATACATAGCCATCAAAACGATCTCTGAAAATAATGATATCCTCTGGGTTTTTGAAGTTGATGTACGCTCTTGAGAAGAGATGCGGATATAAGCTGCGGAGAATTAATATATAAAAACATGCATATAAGAGTGACAGTGATCACAATTACAGAATATTCATACACAAACCAAATATACCTCTGATCAGCTGGGAAGAACTCAAAATAGTCAAAAGATGGAAGAGGACTCAGATGCTCCTCGAGCTGGTCTTTTGATAGACTGGGTGGCAGTCGGCGTATGACAACCTATATAAAAGAAGCATGTATTCAGAAAACTGTACTAAATGAACGTGTTTTAAACATTGCAAAAGAGAAAAAAGAGAGACATTTATCCTAACTGGGACATTTCTCATTTAATTTCAATTCTTCACAAATTGTTTGTCTAATTTATATACAGTAGCTTGTTTCCAGGGCTCTGGTCCCATTGGACAGTCCAACATCCCTGTACATAAATCTATAATCACTATTATTCTGTTTAAGGAATTTAGAATTACAGTGTCCATTAAATTCTCCATGTGTTCCACATAAGAAAGTGCGATACCTGAGTGCGATTAAATAATGAATAAATTACAGAATTATCCCTTTACACACACGTGAGATAATATATAATAAAAGAGATAATTTGGGATATAATATATATATTTTGTTTTTCTCCCCATAATTAGCCTATATATGCGTAGCCTATCCATTCAACACCTGGGTTTTTAAATGTATTCAAAGGGGTAATTAACTGTTTTAATGTGCGAATGCATTTGTGTTTGAAGTGATTGATGCCAATATTCGTTTCGACTGGCTCTCGTGTCTTCGCTGTCTATGGTGCTGAATCCCGTTCCCTCCATCATCATCATCATCATCATCATCATCATCATCATCCAAACAACTGCGCCATTTACCTTGGAGAAGATCTCCTTTTTCTCCTCCTTGTGCTTCGGGTTCACCGTAACGTTGTCCTGCTCCCTCTGACAGTCCCTGAACTGGATCTCGACGCTGCCTCTCTCCCTGCTTCCAGCCCTCTGCTCCTTTTCAGACCTCATTTCTCCATTTCGCCCTCTTCGCTGTCCGAAATCCCCCAACTCTCGCGGGAATTCACCACTAAATACCGCGAGGCTTGCTCGTTGGTGTTAATTCTCTTGTCATTTCAGAACAATAATAGGGTTGTTGTATTTTGTTTATTTATAGCCTACAATAAATTGATAAAACAGAGCTATGGAGTCATGCTACGTTATTTTTTATGAATTAAAGCTAAATTGAATATGGTTTGGGCAGTAGCATAGGCCTATCTTTTAATTTTAAAAGACACCGACGAGATAGGCCTACTTATTAATATATTATTGGTATATTATATGAATGTATTATATTATGTTTTATACTAAAGTTTTCCAATGTAGCCTATTACTCTGTTCTGAGTAGGCTAAAAAAAAATATCTGCATTTTAGCGGGTTGAAGCCAGGGGCATAAAAACAACGACCATGATGACGACACTCATTGTTTACTGCCGGCTGCCGCGTCGTCCTCGGAGTCGCTGTCAGTGCAGCTCGGCTTAATGCACGGCCGAGCCAGGCCGAACGGGCTGCCGGTGCTGACTGTGCTCCATCCGTCCGGGCTGCTGGGCTGACTCACGGAGCGCCCGTAAGAGTCAGGATTAGGAACTGCAAGAAACACGTTACCACAGTCTGTCTGAAAACGTATCCATATTTCTGTTTGCAATGCCTCCTACATCTCTATCCATTTACAATCCATCCATTATCCATCCATATAGGTCTGCAAAACTATCTATCCACCCATCTGCCAAAGTAGCCTACGCCTACTATATCCACTCAATTAGTTATCTAACCAAATAGGCCTATGTCTAATCTGCACAGTACTAACCACCATTTATTTATTTAAACAAATGTGACGTCCTTCTGTCCATCCATCAAAAGTATCCAACTTTATTTTTAGCCTATCTGCAAATGTATCGATCCACCCATCTAAAGCATGTCAACTATGTCCATCATCCATTTATTCTTTTGCAAATTATATTTCCATCTGTCTGCAAAGTATGATGCATTCCATCCATATGATATGCCATATCTGCAAAGTATTCATTGCATCTACAATACTATTCGTCCTTATCCCACCGCAAAACTATCTATCCATGTATTTATCTAAACAAATGTGTCTATCTCTCTATAATCTAAGTATCAATGCAAAAGTGTCTATTCTAGTATCCACCTATCAGCAAATCCGTCAATTTTCTACAAAAGCATCAAACCGATTAACAGAAAACATAACCATTAATCTGCAAAAGTATAATTTACCAATTGTTAGATCTACAAAATTATCGAACCCACTTTATATGACTTTGTAACATTTAAATTAACCATTTGACAGTGCACTTAAGGTGAAGTCATATTAGCAGATTCTGAATACACCAAAAATATGCTACCCCTTAATCTGAACCACGAAACCTCTCCCTAACTTTAACCATATTAATAGCTGCTAAAGTGTTCTGATACACAACCTCCCATAATATTTCCTCTTGTGTATCACTATCCATATTTTTTTAGTATGGATTAACTAATTTCTTACCACTCAGAAAAGTTTGCTTCCCACTGGCCGTCTCAAGGCAGAGCTGAGGCGAAGGCTTCTCTGGCGTAGAAATGGAGCTTTTTAAACTGGGCACAAACGTAGAACAGGTGTCCAGATCTCGACTCAAGCGCACGTGAGAGTAGGGGAGTATGTTGGATTTGGATGGTGTGCAGCCCATGACTAATTCTCCTGTTCACAAGCCAGCTTCCATCTGAGGAGCATCCAGAGTGGCACAGCCAGCACATTTCAATGACAGCAGTCAAAGACACTTCTGATCTACTTCAGGAGCCGGTTTGAAAAGACCCCATGACGTTCCTGGATGCACAATTAGGGAGGCGGTGCCTAATATCCCCTTGAGAAGGGCTTTGAGAACAGTAAAATAAATGAAAGGCTGCTTACTGCAGAGCCACAGGGTGGACTGTGAAGTCCAGCTCCCCCTCTCTTAATATACTTTGGGCATAATAGGTGGAGCTTGAATATCCAACCAAAACCTAACCCTACACATAACTTTATCCCTCCACCCATTAGACGTCCAAAAAGGTGGAGCTGGACATCATTTGTCTCTGCATTGAGCACCACTTGAAATCAAAGAAAATAAATAAGTGACACTTTATAGCTTTTCATTTATGCTTCTTTCCATATGGTGATGTGAATCTCCTTCTGTCCGGCGTTAACGGCTGGCAGTGTACTTGGTGCTACAAGTTTGGTCTCCCAGTGGACCACCACGACAAGGATTGAACCGAGCAGGGAACATCTCTAGGGTCTTCAAGTGGACAACTTCCGTCCGCAGTGTTTCGTCAACTAGCCCACGACACCTCAAGAGGGCTCGACAGTGACTCTGGCGTCCCAGAGTCACCTCCCTCCGTCCCCCACTCAACTCAGCCCAGCTTACTGACCTTCACATCCCTCCTGCTGCTGAGGTTGCTCCTTCCTCACAGTTCACATGTGACCTAACCAAAATCTCACAATCTCGCCGCAACCCAACCATACGCGCCGACATGTTTGACTACAGCTGTCGAGCCTCACTGTCTTCGTTAAAGTAGGTTCAGTGGCAACAGTTCCGTATGGCATACTACCTACCGCAAAACTCAATATCTGCCCAAACACCAACCCTCATTCACGCAATATACACAGGAACGTAATAACTGTAATTACTATGCAAACTATACAAATAAACCAACAGACTCTTTGAGTTTTTCAAGAATTCTACGAAACCGTAGCGTGGCGGCTTGTACACAGCCAACCAGAATAATTCTGTCTCAACCACATCCAGTTGCTGCTCCTTTCTGCTGCTTCAGATAAGTTATTTACTGTGCGACGCAACTCTTGGCCACTGAATCCGATGTCTCTGAGGAACCGGGTTGTAGAGTGTGGAACAAATCCTCGACAACCCACTTCCACTGGATAGACCTGGACTGTCCATCCTCACTGTTCTGCTTCAGGGGCCAGATGAGCACACCGCAGTTTCTTCCTCTCATATGCCTTATATACAGCATCTCCCATGGCACTGTTAACTCTATCGGTTAACCAATGCGTGCTGATGCAGACCACAAAACAATATCTGGTCGGAGATTAGAGGTGGCAATCTCAGGTGGAAAAATAAGCCGTTGATCAAGATCAGCCAGCATTTTCCAGTTCCTAGCAGCTTCTAGTTGTCCTGGGCGCAAACTGGTTTTTACACATTTTCTTGGTAGTTGCTCTCCTGGGCGGAGGAATGTTGTCTTCTGTGTGTAATGTTTTGCCTAGAACAGGCGGCAACTTATTGGTCATGTTACGCTTGCCTTCCAATGCTAAATCCAAACATTGCAGTACTTGATCATGGCGCCAAGTAAACCGACCTTGACTAAGAGCCACCTTACATCCTGTCAAAATGTGGCAGGTGATGAACACAAAGGACAAGAGGGATCCTCTCCTACCCAGAGGTTTAGGTTCTGTGGATATAGGAGTACATCATGTTGACCTGATGAGGAAACTGGTCCTACTCCCTTCTATTGAGCAAAGGTCTTGCAAGCTGATCTTGTGTTGTTCCACACTCTCCCATCTCATCCACTCTCCCTGCTTGGCCTGGGAAATTGGTAAATGGCCTTTATACACACCATCCTCTCCTCTTACTTTCGCACCTTGTTGACTACCAGCTTCCTTCTTTGAGCTGGGCTTGCCTTGTGAAATTTAGGAGGAGCTAACCTGAGCCCAAAACCCCCTCTTCCATGCTGTACCTGTCCCACGATATACTCTATTTGAAGGGCAGCCTTTGCCTCTACCACAGATTTCTTTGCTGACCACTTTCTACCAGTTTTTAACATGGGTGCTGCCTCCCTTACACATTTGTCACGTAACTCTGCTAAGGTAATTTCCAGTCTGACCATGGCACACTTAAACTCCTCGGTTAAAGCAGAGCACCTGCAATATTCCTTTAAATTCACAATGCACTTATTGTTTACATACGAAGAGTTCAGATGCAAAAGCCTCTAAATGCCATTTGAAATTTTCTTCTTTAATGATGATTTTTATCACACTTGTATATTTAAGTTCAGTAATTTCACTTAAATGGCAATAATAATTATCTATTAATTGTTATTTAAGTGAAATTACTGAACTTAAATATACAAGTTTGATAAAAATCATCATTAAAGATGAAAATTTCAAATGGCATTTAGAGGCTTTTGCATCTGAACTCTTCATACATTTTAACATTGTATTAATATATTTTTTTAAAAAACTGCATGTAATTAAATTAATTACACTGTTGACTCTTCCTTTGCCCTTTCTTATACTTCCTAACCCATTTCCCACTTCAATAGCAGTAAATGTGTTTTGCAATATAACACTTAACACATTAAGTATATTGTACCTAACATTTTTTTTTATGTAAGTACATAGTAATTAAATATACATAGTAATTAAATATACCAGATATAAAGTATGACCACTTTAGGTCATATCCTCAACATACATTGTTATGACATACACTCCCCGGCCCAGAGAAAGAAAAATAACAACTTTAATTTCCTTCAAGAAGTGTATATATCCAAACATTTATAAGTGTTTGGTCAGGATCTTGTATTGACTATGCAAGATTTGCGCACTCTGTAAAGTCTCCCCCAGCAAGACTTTCAATGAATTTAAGGTCTGGACTCAGAGGTGCCAATTCATGTGTGAGAATGATTCTTCAAGCTCCCGCCCAACCATTGGGTATGATGCATCTTGGCTTTGTCATCCTGGAATATAGCCATGATGAGTCTTCCATGGTTGTTTAAGAAATGAAAAGCTACACACTCCATCAATTAGGGTTAGAACAACTGTTGCCATTTAACATTTAACATGCTCGAAACCTAGCATCTTCCAAAATAATAATCACTGCACTAATGATCCAGTCATCGACTCTTAAGCATTTGCATATTTAAATCCAAACAGCAACTTTTTGTTTTGGCTAGGCAGTGTATACTCTATTGCTATTTAGTACCACTACCATATTGTTATATTTACTACTGATCTGGTTGGACAATTTTTTTTTATAGTGTTACAAAAACTAATTTCTTTTCATGTAGAAAAAAACAACATCATTAAAGTCCCTGTAAAGTCA